ATTCACCAAGGAGGAATCCTTAGCTCATGCAAAAGCCAAGTAACTTTAGAAACTATCTGTAGCCCTTGGTAAGGAGAAAAACACATCCTTTCCCAGATGAGCACTTTTCATGAATTTCATTAATACAGCATTCCCTGCTACAGCTGTCTGCCTTACAAAAACAAATTAAAAGAATTTGACAAAGGATTTAGGAGATGCCAGAAATAAAGCTAGTGGGCATAATCTTAATTTTCATCCTGCTCTGTATCCTCTAAAACAAAGCCTAACTGTGGCAGCACCTTTTACTTTCACTATCTCCTGGTCTTCAGCCCAGCCCTAAGCTCTACCCAGTGGTGTTCTACCCAATACTTTGGTTTATTTTCACTGTTCAATATGCATGCCCATCAACACGTAGGATTATTCTTTACACCACAATATTCACATCTTGCTCTGAAGACAGAATTCTTAATTTCTTGATTTCTTTCTACAGTGCCCACATCTATGGTATTTAAGAGCCTCAAGAGAATTAATCACATTCCCTTCCCACAACAAGCCGTGGAAGAGTTATTACCCTGCTCTTCTGATGAGAACTGAGAGGGAGAGATCCAGCTAAAAGGATCTATCACTGGGTGCTTGCTCTGGGAAGCCTATTAGTTGGATTTTTTTGCAGCATACTAAGCTTTATAGCCATTTATATGTCTCAAGCACAGCTCCAATTGATTTCCCTGACAGACCTGGATGCTCAATATATCTGCAAATCAAACTTTTGCCTCAAAGTGATCAAGAAAGGAAAGACACAAAAACTAGTGACCACCTGGAAGACATTTGGCTCAAAAGATTAGTAGCACTGACCAGGAGCTCTGATAAAGGCAGAAGTACATTTAATTTTTTCAAGGACCTTAACCATGACCTCATCTTTTCATTCCTCACAGTCTCTGCTTTGTTTGTCGTACACCTTTCAATTTCTGCAATCAAAAGCACAGAGGTCCTCTGGACAAACAGCCTTCTACATCACCTCTATCCTCTGAGGAAAATGAGACACAATTGCTTTGGGGAAAATAGTATGTGATCACATAATTAAAGACTACATCATAATGCATATACACAAAGGAGGTTAATTAAAGTTGCCTGTGCATTTCTTAACTCCTAATTCCATTCTCTGTAATCATGCTGACTCCATAACCATAGCCATTTGAGTTTGGAGAGTAAATGACAGCTGCAGTAAATTTCCATTCTTTATGTGGCCCAGTCACTAAAAGAAAATAAGAAGATTTTGCCAACAGCCTTTACAGATATTTGCTGACAGCAGAGTTATGCTGAGATTCTAGAATTAGAGATTCCATCCCATGTTCTACAGATGAGGATTCCCCTCCTGGAAAGGCCTTTTAGGGCCATGGCTTCTGAATTTTTCCCACTCAGTGTGGTCCCCTCTAGCCTGTCATTTTGCTGGATAGGTCTCATAGCCCAGCTCCAGTCTCCTCACCTTGCCAACATCACATTCCAGCCCAGCTGCCGCTGCTAACAACCATCACTACAGGTTGATATTTTACAGCATCTGGAGGGAGCAGATATGTCCCTTCCAGCCCTGTGATATTCACCATGAGAAAAGGCAAGTTAAATAAAAATGAGTAAGCTAATAAAAAGGCTCTCCTGGTTAAAAGCTAAGTGATTACAGCTGCTATATCAGATTGCAAATGACAGAAGCATCTCGTAAAAGAGTCTCCACATGCACACATACATCAAGAAAGCAAGCAGAAAGGCTGAGCTGTTTATAAATCTACCATAGAGAAAGGGATCCACGAGGGGATCAGTAACTCTCTTCACAGAGCTCTTAAGCTAATTCTTCCAGTCTCCAAAGGGCTGCATCAATTTTAATGACACAGCTATGATCCTCCCAAACCATGAGCATGATTTCAAGGAGGTTCTGATCAATGCAGTCTCCTCTTAAGACTTCAAATACCTGCACACATACCTCCACATGCTGTCTGGCATGCATACAGCTTGAGATTGAAGGCTTCTGAGAAGCACCAAATAAGCAGACACAACACTGAAAAAATTTCTACCATGCTGCAAGGAGGGAAGAAATGAGAGAAATGAGGCTGTACTCTGTGCTTAGAGGAGAAACAGGAACACTGTTTTTTGCAAAATTGACTTTTACCAAGCAAATCAGGCGGGCACACACGAAATAAACCTGTATTTAGGAAATTTCCTCCCTGTTGCTGAGCCTGAGCAGTGCCATTGCCCATCCTCACCATGCTCACTGTCCAAGCCCACGCACTGAACGCTGCTCGCACCTGGTCACTGGGAAAGCAGAAACCCCTGGTTCTCACATGACACATGGAAAGTGCTAACAGCAAGGCCTAGGAGATGAGACTTTTCTAAAGTCACTAAGGACTCCACAGGCTTCTCTTAGCTGGGCTGACTGACAGCATGGTCTGAAAGACTAGGGTGCTTAAAGCTCTTCCTGAGAAGGTATCAAAAAAGGTGCAATTGCAAACTTCAAGAGTTACTTTCAAAAGTATTGCCCCTGAACTATCTCTTCAAATTTTTCTTATTTAAAATTAGATCTTCCTGTTTCAAACCATTTTCTTTTGAATCTCAATCCATCCTGAAAATGAGCCTCGTCCAATTTTCACTACTAAATGCTGATTCTCATTATCACAACCTTCATTTGGATAACACACTACTACACATTACTGCACACTGACATACAACACTGCTTTGAGTCAAAGTTCTTATTATTAACCTTAATGACCAAAAAGCCATGAATAGAAATAAGTCTGTGCTATACGCTAACAATCAAATGACCTGTAGAAAACTGGCAGAACTACATCAAATGAAAATGCCTCATCACTACTAATATCAAGCATGTTAAAGGAAAACAGGAATCAATGTGTTTTATCTTACACCTATATATGTTGATGCACACATGCATTCTCCTTCAGAATATGCACATGTAGGGATATGTATATAACATATACATACACGTTATACACAGCTTTATATAATGTATATTATTATATACCAACGGTAAGAGTCTCCAAATCACATCTCCACGACACACTTCAGAGATGAGGAGCCTTTGTCATTCGTATGTGAAAACAACTCAAGTTAAGAGTGCCCGCTACAGAGTGCCCAGATTTCACATGGGCCAGAACCATTTGTTCCAGGACAGTTCTCCTCGAGCTTCTGACAGAGGCAGCAAGAAAATTTACCTCTGCCAAGCTGCCCTAAAAGACTGCCCTTCCTTTTCCTGCAGGCTTCTAATTAATTTTTGAATTAATTAGAAATAAGGTCCTGTGGGTAATCTGGCAGTTCTAACTCTCACCCTGAAAACACATCACCATCTCCTACCCTCCAGCTGGTTTTCATGGCCTGGACACCAACTTCCTTATTGTGTAACTTCACATTGCCACCTACCCAGGGCACCTCTTCTCTGCACTCCTATTTGGATTTCATTAGCAGGAGTTTGAGGCTAAAAGAGAAAGTTCTGCTTCCCAATACCTGCACCAGAAGGGGCCTCGGTCCCTAGGAGAGCAATGGTAAGAGATGCTCTTGCTGGACAGTGTCCATGCAGACAATTTTTATTGACACTTAGGAACTTTTCTGAACTTCAAGGCTCCCACACAAGACTGCAGTATTAACACAACTTTGACTTTTTTGAACGGATTTTTCAAAGGAATCTAACCATCTTTTCAAATTTTACCTATTTTTAATATGAGTAAAACAATGTTTTGTCAAACCTGATACAGAGAAAGAGATGATCAGGTTTTTTGACGTTAAAAAAAAATTTAAAATATTACCCCGAGACAGAAGAGCTGACAGGGAAGATTTCAGCTCAAACAATGAAATACTAGCAAAGCTGTAAAACCTTTGAAAATAGGAGCTTGCAATAAAAAACATTAGGCAACTTTAATTACAGTTGTTTCTGCCTGTGTAGTTGCCTATAGTAACTCTCCTCTAATACCAATTTCTTTATGAAAAGATAATTTTAAAAAATCCAAAGTGAAATTTATACTAAAATATACATATCTAGGAAAAACTTTAAAAAACAGAATAAGAAAAATTATCTTATATATCATTAAACAAGTATACAAATAAGACTTTTCTGTGTATATGAATGTATTCCAAAGTAAAATGAAGTATTAGTCTATGGAGAGGAATTTCTACAAAAAAGAAAAACCAGCAAGGATCCAAGAGAGTAAAGAAAATAAAATGAAATGTGTTAAATCACTGCCTTCATTTTTTAATTGTATGATCCCATTCCTGTAAAGAGGAGAATCTGCCCCTCAGGACTTGGCTCTGAAAGGCAGGAATCTGTAAAGACTCCAGCCTTTCTCTGTATCATTATTTTTCATTATATTTACACTCTCAGTTGCCAGTACAGTGTCTAATGTGCAATAGTTAGAATCACAAAACTTGCATTGCAAAGGTTTGCATAAAAATTAATTAGCTTTCATCTCCAGAGAGTAGGGATTCTCCAGGTCACCATGGAAGCCACTGGAGATGCAACCACAGCTGCTTCGACACTGGAGCTCATTCCCCAGCTCAACTTTCCCCCTTCACCAGCATAATCAACTTTGGTGATAAAAAGGAATTGTTTCATCAACTCTTTTACATGACTGACACAAGCAGCTCCATTCACTGCAACAACACTTCTAAAGCAGCTAGGAGCTCACATCAGAGGCTCAAGGAAATAATTTACATTAACTGAAAGAGAAGCAATCAGAAATAGCACAAATTACTTCACTATCATTTAACAAGTGATGTTTGAGTTTCATCCCACCAGAAACTGCAGTGCCAATCAAAGAAGATGCTCCCAGACTTCTGCTTCCAAGGAAGTGGGAGACACCTTTCTATTGGCCATAACATCAGGAGAAACAGGTTTTAGAAGTGAATGAAGGACACACGACACACCAAATGTAGAGAAGAAATGTTCTGCAAGGACATGCCTCCCCCCACGACAGCACACACAATGCATTTTAACTCTGCAAACTGCAAGAGTGGCCAATATTTCTTACATCGTTCAGCTGCTTATTGCGGGCTGGGATGAGGGTACTGCTTAGTTGTTTATTCCCTGCCTTTAATGCTGCATCTCTTCTTGCTTGCTCAAGCAGAACTCTCGCTCGTTCTTTAAGTTCTTCCTGTCTTGACAACATACGTTGCTTAAAAATAAAGAAATATAATTAACAGCAAGGCAGCCTCAGGGTACTGAAGGTTTATACAGCAGTTAATAGCCAGCGGCCTTCCTATACAATACAGGTCAGGAGCCACATGAATTATGTCTTCATGAGGTGACAGAACATTTATAGAAATGAAAAGATGATCAAAATGTAAAAAAAAAAAAAAAAGTTGTAGTCCTTTATAATGTAAATTCGAGTTCTCTTCCTTCCCCTTAAAACTTAATTTCTATCAACATTTAATGCCTTTAAACTGCAACTGTGGAAAAAATCCAAATGGCTTCACAGAAGCCATGTCAAACGTGCTGTGTTTACTTATTTATTTTAATATGTATGCAAATATGGCTACAACAAAAATGCTTTGTGGGCTACTTATATGGGTACCACTCACTTATAACTTAAATTGAACACAAAGAAGCTGGGTACAAGGTAAAAAGCTCTCCAAAAATATCTGCTTCTATTGAATTCATGAATATGCACAAGTCCCTTCTTCTTACAAAAGACTGAGGCTACTTTAAGAGCAGAAATATCAAAAGGGGGTTCTGCACAGGCAACACGAGAACATGAGCAGCTCCCAGGCAGACACAGTCCCAAGGGCTGGTTTCTTAGTCAAGGTCAACTATCAAGAGTGGGAAAATGCATCTCCAGGCCTTTCCATGGGCCAGGGCTGGGACAGGTGCTGCCTGCTGTGCTCCTGCAACAACCACGTGGAAATGGAGGTGGTTGACTCTAAGCAACAACGGAGTGTAGGTTCAGAGGGAGTCTCCCATCTGAGATTTTATTGCCATATGCAAATGTACCAATAATTAACAACTAAGAACTGCCTTTAAAGCCAACTCTTGCTTTTTCTTGGCCTGTGACACCTTTGTCCATGAAAATCCTCATAGAGAACAAATCCTGCCTCCTCCTGCTCTTTTATTCTGTATGGGCCAAGCTGTTCCGTTTTCAGCCAGTACACAAAGACGATGATGATGATGATGATGAGGATGAGGATGATGATTAGAAACCTCACAAGACTTCATTGATTACAGGAAAGAAATTAGTTGACTCTGGAACCTATATTTGGCCATTATCACTCATCTATAGACTGCTTCTCTTGCAATAAAATCATCTTTATGGTGCTTACTCAGAAAAAAAGTCCCATAAAAATATTTGAAGCAATTCATACTATCAGAAGATTGGATATATTCTTTTCTTACCAGAGCTAATGGCACAAAGCCCAAACTCGAGAAAATTCTTCACAAGGGTAAAATTATAAGCTTGTTTTGGCATTTTTGTAAGTGGAGGTGTTAACATGTTTTACATATTTTTATGATTATATGATTTATTGATAATACTCAGCATATATATAATATTCAACTTCCATTCTCACAATAAATCTGCAAGGTAGGTGGGCAAACACTGTTATCTTTACAGAAAGGAAAATGATATTGTGTTGAAGTAACATGCCTTAGGCCACTCAATGGAAAGCAGCATAATTTAGCAGTCTGGAGTTTCTACCTCACCATACTGGCTATGTTCATGAGACTCTGTGGTTTCCCAGACAAGATTCTGAATTACCTTTAGTAAATTTTAAGGTATTCAAAGCTTTTTATTTCCTAATGAATTGATATCTATTTCCAGTCTTTGCTTCAGTGTGCAACATTCAGAGGAAATGAGTTGCAACAGACAGTGGCAAAAGCTTTGGAGCCATCTTTGAGATAGTTGAGAACACAAATTTCTTTAATTGGAGAGAGATTGGAAAGACCAACAGTGGGACAATATCTGTAAATTTTTCGTGTAATGATTGTTTTGCAGCACCACCTACTTCTCAGGCAAAATATTTATTGCCCAAAACTACATTGCTCACCTCATCATTTATGCTGAAGACTTGGTGTAAATTACAAACACAGAGAAAAGACTTGAACGGCATCTCCATCCTAATTCACAGACACAAATGTCTTACCTGGGCTGTTTTAGCAGTTTGATCTGCATGATTTAAAGCTGCTCTGGCATCACTGTCAGAATCAGACTCTATTTGCCTCGGAGAAGCATGTGGTTTCTTTGCAAGATCTGTATCCATGTTATAGGAGTATCCTGGCTTAGAAGTAGGAGATAAACTTGGTTTTGTGACAGGTGAACTGGGATCTGCTCTTGTGCTCTCTGTGGATCCTATACATCCCAGCTTTTCTTGCTCCGAGAAACCAGGGGTACTGTCTAAGCTCTGGTGTCTCTTCTTGTTGTTATCTTCACAAGCAACTGTGGGAGACATATCCTCCTTTTGATCACTGACATGTGCTAAGTCACTCAAGTCTAAAGTGTCAGTTATCAGCAATTTCTTCCTTCCCAACACAGGCTGCACTTGTGTTGCGTCTGTACTGCTACACTTCCCGATTTCTTCCGAGGCGGAAGTCCTCCCGGAGCTCTGCTGGGATTTCTGCGGATCCGTGTCACTTCGAGTCCTGCGTGAGGAAGGGGAAGCTGTGCTCGGGCTCAAGTGGTCATCGGGAGTCTGATGCTCGCTCTCGGATTCGCCGACGCCGCTGTCGTTGACGAAGACGGAGTCGTCCTGCGAGGCGAAGTCGGCCAAAGCGCTGTCCGGGGGCTGCAGCTCGGGCTCGCGCTTCAGGTCGCTCAGCTCCGCGTAGAACTTCTCCTGGTCCACAGAACTGTTGGTGTCCGTCTCGTAGTTGCCCACTTTGTATGTGCTCTTGCTGCTGTTCTCCTCTATCTGAACCACGTTCAGCTCCTGGCCGCAGAAATGTGCCCTTATCTGATAGAGATAGGTCATAACAGTCAGTTTGTCTGGGATGGCCAACAAAACCATGTCCGAAGGCTCCAGCAGTCGCGATATTCCCAAGCTGGCAAACCCGTCGTAGGCCTTTGAAGACAGACAAAATAAAGATAACAGTGTGGCAGTTTCTTACCCATCATAACATCTCAAAAATGCAAGTGGAAATTTCAGTCAAAATAAGCAAACCTAAAACACACTCAATATTACAGGGAGAACATGGCTCTGACTCAGTTACTTATTATTCCTTTTGGCTTCATTATAGTCATTACTACTTTTTGGTGCACCATCCAACATCCAGCTCATTGATTTGTCCATGGCTTCTACACATGTCCCAGGACATCTTCATAGCAAAGCAGACTGAGAGAATGTAACCAGCAAAAACACTCAAATAGCATTTTAAAAAATATTTTCAACATACTTCAATGCCATACTATACTAAAATCTTTTCTTACTCAAAATTGTGAGAATTCTATGAGTAAACAGCTCTTCGTGAAACTGCAGCTTGAAAGCCCTTCTTTTTGCACTAGGAAACTCTACCAATATCTTAAATGGTTCTCACTCAAGTAGCAGGAAAGAAGCAAACAAAAAAAGTCTAAGAGCTGGACCAGAAAAAAAAGGAACTCAGGATGGCTTTTTAAGATAAGGAACAAAGATATAAGAAAAACGACACTAATCCATCTTGAGCTTTATCATTGATGATCAACCTTCTGCCTTCTATTGGTCATGTAATTGCAGTGATTCCTGCTGATGAAAAACTATGTCCAGATAGTTAAAAGGAACACCACCACAGATTACTTCACACTAAACATAAATCACATTAATCCATCAAGCAAACGCATTTTAAAAACATTTGTTGATGCTAAATTTATAAGAAAGAGAGAGTGAAAATCATTCCCATTTCACTTTACTTTCTAAAAGCTGAACAGTTGCAAGCCTCCCACTTTGTGAGGCCACATTGTCTTCTTTTACTGCTGGCCCTTTAAGTGAGTGGGCTTGGTGCATCAGGTTTTTCTAGTTTTGAAGAATTAAAGCCGTTTCTCAATTTACAATTAATTATTACTATCCTGGATTAACCTTGGAAGACAATATTGTGTTTCAGGGAAGTCTTTAAAAGGCCTCCTGTTAGCGTAGATGCACTCAGTTAAAGCATGTGGGCTTCTCCTCCCCCAGGAATCCTGCAGCTCCTTTTCAGCGTCTCCTGAAGGGCCTTACAATGTTCACAGTTGATCCTACACTATTTTGAACAAAAGCAGATGCTAAATTTAAGACATGGATGAGAAAACTGTCCTTTCACAAGGAAACAGTAACACACATCACTGGCTTCAACTCTTGAACTTTACATTTTTTCCTTAATTTCTTTAGTTTAAAAAGAATAGAGAAAAAAAATAAAACAATTATTTATTTTTTTTTAAATCCTCTTGGTTTTTATATTACTAAGAATTCAACAGTGAGACAGAATGTGGGGCTGGGCTGGCCTGCTCCTGGCAGATCCAGATATTTTGTTTGCTCTGAGAAAAAGAGGCTCTCTCCTCCTCCTTGCAATGTCATTCCCTACTCAGTGGTCCAATAGTTTTTGTTTCAGCTGCTTTTCAAACTCTGCTTCCAAAACCTGGAATTTATCTTCCTGAAATTTTGCATGCCTCCTCTCATGCTCAGGTATAACTTTCCAAAGCACTTTAGGTGAAGTACTTTTTATATAATTATAATAAATGATTCACAGAGTTTATCTAGACACAGAAATGGTCTGAATAATTTATTATTAAGCTCTTCTGGCATTCTCCCCATGCAAAATGATTTTGCCTAAAATCATTGCTGGTATTTGGTGTAGTATTTCTTGGGAAGGTTTATTATGATGAGGGACTGTTATGGCATTTATAAATACAGAGCTGTGCTTAGATATAGGAGCAGCAGTGGCAAACATGACTAATGTATTTGCTGGTACAAAACTACAGATGGAGCAGAACAGCAGCAAAATGATAGGTGGGAGGGAATGGCAGCAACCTGGACCAAAGCAGCATCTTGGAAAACAGAGCTGGAGAAGCAGGATCAAGCTGACTGTGGAGGAGAGGGAGACAAGATGGGTGGGACTGAATAGACATGAGGGGCAGAGAGAGCAGCAATGCAGGGATCTGGGTGGCAGCCTAAGGCATGGCAGAGAGCAGCAGTGATGGATGCTCACACCACAGCAGAAACAGGCTGGGCACGGACACACAGCGAGCCACCCGTGCTGTCTGTGGAGTAAAGGTAATGCCAGGAAGGGCTGTTTGCTAAGTGGGTCAGTGCTGATTCAGTGGCATAAATAACTTGTTACCTCACACTGCAGGTAGTGGGAGTCACCACCTGAGGAATGACAGGACCTAAGGACAGGCACAGCAGCTGGGGCAGCCAAAGCCAATAGACATGACTTGACCTAAACTCCTTTTATACTCTCAATTTCTTATTCTTATTCTTTATGTGCTAATAAAACTAAATTCTATGAGTATCTCCCAGGGTCTATAAAATTAAGGTGAGGACAGTGTTATAGGTCTCAGGAAAGGTACTTGCTTAGAAGTAACACTACAGCAGGACTGAATTTGGAATGATGGATATTCTCAGTACAGCTGCAATCACTTTTTGTTGTTGGCTGCTCAGCTCTTCTGGTGATGCCTGGGATTAAACACAGTTATTTCCTGCTGATGCCTGACACCTATTCCCCATCCCCTCTCATTCTCATCCACATTTTTGCTTCTCTCCTTTCAAAGTACACTAGATATGTAGATTGGCATGCCAATGTTCTACAGACAGTAGCTCTAGACATAGCAATTGTGTGTTCTGGATGTGTCCATATAGGACTATGTGATGGGTTGTTCTTCACTACTAGAAAAGCTGGGAGTTTCCTGATATTCCAGCATATTTATAAATTCATCATATTTCTAATTAGTTTGTAACATAATATTAACAGAGAAAATTTTCCAAGTCAAATTACTTTTGTCAAACACAGGCATAACTCAGCCCCAATTTTTGCAAATATTTACTACTCTGCATGTTTAACTCTGCTTCTACATTATCCTACTGATGCCAATAAGCATCTCCTACACATGCAATTAGATCTGTTCTTATGACTTTGTGGAATCAAATTGTAGAGGTAAGCATGAACACCTATTATAAAAATACTAACTCCAGTTTCAAGGTAAGGAATATTTTCCATTTTGACTCGATACTACCCCTGTAAATCTGAATTCTCCTATTTAAATGTATAATTGAAAAGAATTCCCTTTAAAAATGGGATATTTTATTAAGATGATCACTCAAGTTCAAACGTATTGAGGAATTTGTTAGAAATGGCCAAGAACTGGGGAGCATCATAAAAATAAGAAGTGCCAATTGAACATCCAAAAGATATCACCACATGATAAATGAACCAAGCTTCTCTAAACAATAACTAAAACCAGAAATTCATTATTAGCAAAATACTGTTGTGCCCTTCTACTTCTCATTCCTTCATCTTGTCAAAGATCCAGCCCGAGTCTTGTTTAGTAGCTTATATTTTTAATGTGCAGGACATGTTATGAGTGAGACAAAATATTTCTAATGTTGATTAGGAACTATAGTGCCAGTATGCTGTAATTTTAATAAATTTTCCATTAATTTAAATTTAATTGTTATTTAATAATAATCAAATGGACATATTATATCAAATTAACTGTTTAACGCTACTAGGAGGGTAATATGGATAGTTAGCTACATTTGAGATTTAACTGGAAGCACAACTCTTTAGACCAGCTGGGAAAGTATCCCTGTAAAGTTTGTAATTTTCTCAAAGATAATCCTGGTTTCTCTGCTGTTCCTGATAGAAATTCGAATTTCCAATGTGCACCAAAAATACCTTCCAATTCAGACTGATGCCAATGTAGTAGTTATTTGGGATTTTTAAAATATATGTATATTCAGGAGACTAAGCCTATTTATCTATCTCCCAATGAAGTCTTTTTCTTTTTTTTAAATTTACTGACAAGCTGATTGACAGACATCAATTGGGATCCATCAGCACAAGCACCACAGGCAGTATTCCAATCATTTCCCAACTCTGTAACACACTGACATATTGGCCAAGATCAGATGTCACAGGTAAATACCCTTTTTTATTCAGCATCAGTGGCAGCACCCAACTGGCAAGTGGTTGGTGTGTATTATAAAGAACCTCTGATGACATGCCTTTTTAAAGAGTGCATTTCCATCCCTAATTATACACAATATTTGCTCTGAAACAGTTGTTAAGAAATCTTAAGATTTCCTCCTTTTTTAAAAATTAAAATACAAACAAAGTCATGCACTTCTAAAATATATACTCTTATGGGTTAACCTTTAATCTATGGTTTTCCTTTTGGGGAGAGGGAGAGACAGAAAAACATTGGAAAAAAAGAAAAAGAACTGCTTCAGACAAAGAAAATCATCCTATTCATCCAAAGATGTTATTTTAATTGGTTAGGAGGAATCATTGTCAAATGTGTTACATATCTGCATGGAATTTCTAGGCAGCCATTGTTGGCAGTGCTGCATTCACTCCAACCAAGGGCACACGGGGTTATCTGGCAGAACTGTGTGAGACCAGGAAATAAATCTGCAGGAAGCAACTGAGATACTCAGGGTAGCTGTCAGGCGAAGGCTGGCAAAGTGATGAAAGAAAAAAACTGCACAATAATAACAATCACTATTTCTTCAATTCTGGGAACTATATCCTGTTAGAGACAGGCTAAAAAGTTCACTGTTTGCCATCACAGTTTCACAAAGAAAAGATGACTGATCATACTGCTAACGTTTTTAATTAATAATCTATTCTTTCTTTTTTATAATCCAGCTTAATTAGGCCAGACGCTCAACAAAACTTGAAGTACAAAAACATATGGTCACAGAAAATACTGTGATGCCACAGATAATCCACTTAGGTCATTGTAAGTCCTCCTATTATTATGAAAAAAAAAATCATCAGCTAAATACTCATTAGATAGGAGCTGCTCAGAGATATTTCATTATTTAGAATACTTAAGTACTAAATTAAAGACAAGTAACTCCCTGTTTAACACATAAGTGTGCAGGTACATTAAAATATAAACAAAATTAATTTTAATAAAGCACTTTCATAAACTCCATGTAAGTAAATAATACTAGATTGTAGATATGTTTGCTATATAATATTGAACTTGGTAATTTATTTAAAGTATATTTTTATACCTTCATCCCAGTTAAATTTAGTGCCTTTTAAAGCAGTATAAAAATAAAATCACAGCTTTAAGAAGGCAGATACTTAAAACAATTTTCAGATGATCTTCAGGAACAATTTTATTATCAGTGACTCACATGAAAATTGTAATTTCTAAACATGTCCCTAGGGCCCAACTGAAGCTTGTAACATATCTAAAATAGTGAGCAGAAATAAACAGTCTTCCGGTGATCCCCAAACTGAATTCCTGCTTCTTCCAGAGAAACTTTCTACATCTTGCACCTACAAAGACTGGTTTAAAGCAGTTGCACAGCACAAGGCTATTAACTATTTTCCTAGCATTTAATTTATTTGTAAAGGAATATGTCAACACCTTTTATCCTAAACCTCCCATGTTGTGCAAACTAATTCATTCAGCTGATGCAGTGTAAGAGTAGGTGTAAAATTCCATCTTTAAAAATATAACAATCACCATCAAAACAACATCAACCGTGGCCAGCTCCCAGAGCCTTGTTACAGCAACAGCAAGAGAAGCCTTGTGTGCCACAGTCCAAGAGCAGTTACATTTTTCATTCTCTTAATTACGTGGCTGATAGGAAAAACCAGAGCAGTGCTCACAGAAGGCTGGCCAGGCCCCTCCTCTACTCTCACACTTAATGTAGGCCATATAAATATTAAACTCTAATGCCAGCCCTGCACTTGTTGTGAATGTTAAAACCATGACAAACTCGAGTCAATAACACATCCGATCTGAACCGTGGGAGGCCAAATTCCTTCTGTGAGCCACAGTTATGACCTTACAAAACAACCACACTTTCCCAAAATTAATAAAAACCTGCAGTGAAGTCAAAATTGAGGCTATGGTTTTGGTTTTGGGTTTTGTTTTTTTGCCTGGCAGTTCTTACCTTTTTGTTGTTCTCTTTAATATCTTGAGGATTCAGGGACTTGTAGTCACTGAGGGGGAAAATGGCACAGTGGGTATATACAGTATTTGATAAAAGCAGCAGTTTTAAAACAAACTAAATCTAAAAATTTGACATACAATAATATCATACAGTAACTAGCAATTTCACAGCAATTCAATCAACAAAACTAATAGTGTGGAAAATTAAAGGAACAAATAAATAAATAAATAAACACCGATTACATGTTTCATTGCCTGAAGCTCTCCATCTAAAAAAGAAGTTAAGGCAGGGACTAGAGGCCAGCCTTGACAACCAAATTTACCAGAGGTAATCCGTCCTTGTCAGCATACAAAGAGCTTATTCCTCTCATCTCATTTCAACACTGGCGCAATTCTCATAATCATCTTGAAGTCAGTTCTTTGTATAAGATTAAGAAGAAGAAAAACAAATCACAGAGAGGGGAGAAATAATTGTTTATGCAACAAGGGAGAGCAAAGAGGTCACAAAGTTTGAGCATTCATAAATCTGGTTTCTTAGAAAGGAGGGTTCCCTGCTTGAAAGCAAAGGGTGAAAACAGTTCAGCACCTAAAACACACTGGTATTTGATTTTCAAGTTAAAAAATTGTTCAGTATTTCTATGAGAGTTAGCTTATGCAGGCAAAGAGTATACCACTTACATTAGGTCTGGTCTAAAGTGATGTAATATTGCACAAAAGGATAAACCGTTTCTCCACGACGTGGTGAAATTGGTGATTTTCACTCCCCTATAGTTTTTTGTAACTTCTTTGCACCACACGAGCAATGACTGACTGGCATTTGGCTTTCTCCCCAAAACAGGACTTGGTATTGGGCTTGGCTGCAAAAAAAAAAAGAGAGAGAGAAAAGAAAAAAAAAAGAAAAAAAAGAGAGAGAAGATAAAAGAATTTAATGGAAGATGAGAATTAACATTAATTGACCTAACTAGATGATCTGTATCCTTTGATGTGAGTTTAGGTCCTTCACAGCTGTCAGTTTACAATGACTGTAACTTGCAAAAGACACAAATCGCGAGTTATTATCTGCAGTTGTTGCCCTAGGCACTTGTCTCCCAAGGATGCAGATATACAGGATTCCAGATCTACACAGGGGAAGAGGCCAAGAATTGTAGCAGTGGAAACACCCGTGCTGAAACACAGCACAGCCCCGCACAGCCCGTGACACACAGCCTTGAAAACACTTCCCAAAATGCAGCCATGGAAAAGCATCCCCACGAGCCCTTTCACAATCGAAGTCACAACACAGGATTGATGAGTTCCTCTGGTACAGGCTCCAGAGGAGAGTTTTGGTGCTCTTTCTGTGCCAGTGAGCAATTGCATAAAGGTAATTATGGCACCGTGTTTCTGAACAGCCACTTCCAACCAAACCCGAAGAGCTGCCTCTTCCAGGCTTCAGCTTTTCTATGTGGAAAAGGAATTTCAGATGAAAACTCTTGTCAGAAGGTGGTTTCTAACAAGTGTCATTAGCTAACGACCATTAGATCATCATTAGCTAATAATGACCATTTCCAAAAAAAGTTATTTTGACTCTTTTAGTAACATTTGTGTGGGCATAAAGCAAGAAATAAAATAGAACACTTCAGGCATTTGGCATTTGTCAGACTATCCGCTGCTCCTCAAATTCAGCATTCTGATAGCAGCAGCTGTTTTCAGACATACACACTTCCCTAGAAAAATACTGCCACTTTAAAAACTTCTTAGATCTAATCAAACAGGCAGAATGTGACTGATGTAAATCCTATGTTTGAATTACAGTGAAAGAACTGAGATCCCCTATTCTTTCAATGTAATATCATTTAAAGCATATATACAAAACAAACAAGCTCTTGATGCACTTTAGAGCTAGAGAGTTCCCAAATTAAGACAAATTAAGAGCAAGTAATTTACTGTATCACAGCCACTTTATGGTCAAACGGATTTACTTGTTATTGCCTATTTGTGAAAGACCAACGATGCCCCCCCTTGACTGAAGCCTGTCAGTGCTCAGCAATTAGCTGCTATCAACTCATTTGTTTTCACGGCTTCTGGGGAAAAAAAAAGTGCAGAGCTGGGAAAGTAATTTTTCATTTACTGTCAAATCAGCCCTAAAAAGTTGTTGCATAAACACACTAGCTCCTCACCAGACAGAAGCACTGCTAACTCATTTGCAAAGTGCAAAAGGTATACCTTGCTGAGATTATTTTTTTAAACTCCACATCATATGTACAAAATAACTTGTTAGAAAGTGCTTAGGGGTTTTGTAATCCTGTCAACAATTCAAATCAGCATGAACAAATCCATTAACAACGAGACAAATATCTCCAAATACACTGAATTAACGGCTTTAACAGGGATATACAAAATAGGGAAGGAAAAGTAGCAATAAATTATAAACTTTACCATGCATAAGATTTTAATCAGAGAAACAAATATTGCATAGGAGCTGTTACTTCAGATTCAGTGAAGTAATTAAGATGGTGCTTTTCTCTTGTTTTCTTTACAACTTGAAGCAAAATCTAGTAACGAATCATTGATCTCAAATTTAAGGTGCTATGTTACTTAAAATATATTTCCTATTACAAGTTATAGACATGGAAATAGCACTACTGAGAGATGTATTCACTGAGAAAAAAAAACTAAAACAACATTATCAAATAGTGGAAAAGTGATATTTTAATAAATTATTAATGCAAAAAGCTACTTCTTCAAATCATAGAGCATTACTTACCAGATATATTAAATGTTAACTATAAAGGCTTAATACTTGTTGCTGAAACTCTCAACAAAAATGGCAAATCTTCCAGTCACTACCTAAACACTTTCTTGTTAACACTGAAATTGCCTTAGGCAATATTGCCATTTAAATTACTTTACTTATCTAACAAACTGTAGATGTAACTGAATTTAAAACCAGATTTTACAGAAGGAAATAAAAAAGTATTAAACCAATAAATTAGGCAGAATTTCATACTTTATTTAAAAATTTATTCTAAAATTATCAATGTTTAAAAAGACGGACTGCAGAATCCTTGAAAATCTGGAGCTTTTTTCTATGTTTTTCTTTCCACTTATGTTAGATTTTCTAAAAGCACTTTTTCCAGAATACAGAAGATTTAGGACACGCATAACGTGCATTACACGTACAATCTTCTCTTCTCTTACCTGATAAAGCAGAAATTGTATAAGGTTTTCTTTCCACACTTATTAGTCCGTGTTTTTTGATAAAGGTGAAGTTAATACCATGACAATGTTATGCTCCTAATCACCACCTGCGTCAAAGCTTTCGTTATTTAATCTATGATAAAAGCATTCAACTCCAGACACAATGGAAATACAAAAGAAAAGGCAGAACTGTGTGCGAGCACTTGACAGGCTTTCAGAGGAGTTTACAAATATTAGTTTTAGTTTCTTTTTCATGTGTGTGTGAAAAATCATCATGCAAAACATTTCCTTTCAATATTTGTATGTTGGACATAATAATTACTGTCTTGGTGCAAACACAATTACTACCAAGTGCCTATTTCTACCTCTACACGATTGGTAGTAACTAATCAGATGAAATGAAAATTTAATAACCTTTTTCTTGCATCATTCTTTTCAGCACTGACTACACAATTCTTCTAAACGACACAGCAGTCACAACTTGCCTTTTTGAGCTCAAAAGCCGAAGTCCCTGCGAACTCGGCTGGAAATGCCACTAGAAAGGCCAAGATATCCACAGCAGATTGCCAGAGCTGCTCACTGATCAACAGGTCATGGAATCCAACACAACTGGCTTCTGTCCAGCCGTGGAGCAGCGCACGGCGAGCACGGAGGTTCCAGAGCTTTCCCTCACAGGGTGGCTCAGATCTAAACGCAGGATCATGAGGATGGATTTATCAGCTGGAGTCAGCATTGGCTTTGGGATATCTTAGGTTCACACTCAACAAAAGCCCTGAAGTCTCTGTTCTTCTTTTTACACATTCTGGAAGCTCAGCTGATATGTTTTATAGTGTATGCATTTTTTCTCTTGGGAGATTATCCCATCAGACCATTATGTTAACAAGAGGACAATAGCTTCAAGTATTAGGCTGCATACCCACACTTAAAAATATTCAAATAGCTGGTTTTGCTGCTCTGAGGAACCCAGCACGAGGCACAGTGATGGCTCATACAGCAGGGATTGAGTTGCATCTCTGACACAGCCCAACACTCATGAGAAGAAAATCAAGACTGGAAGTGTGATGAGAACATGGGGCTATGGGACGGTGACACGGCCAGGATGAAGACTGTAGGGGCTCAGTCTGAGGGCCTCAAGGGCTTATAGGCAGGTTGCATGGGGGTAGAGGTGTTTAAAGAAAGCAGGAGTGTTGAAGCCCATAAGAGAAAGATGCTGAGAGGAGTAAGGGGAAAAAAAATTTGTAATCTAGGTGGAACACTTACATGGTTTGGGTTTTATATTAATGAATGAACACAACTCCTAGAAGAGGAAAGGAGCTGAGACAACCACCCAGGACTGGTAATCAACTGCAGGAGAGGAAGCTCAGATTGAGCTCTCTCAGATTGAGATAGGGCTGAAAGTCAGAATAGGGAAGACCTACAAACAATGAACAAGCAAGTTTTTTTCCCTCAAAGGCAAGTACAGACACTGGCCTCTAACTTATTTGACTGAGCAAAATAAAAGGGATTTTCCCGTACCCCTATCAAAACCACGACGCTGTCTGGGCTCACAGAAAATTGTGCAACCATTAAAATGCAAGGTAAGGTAAATGAAAGTAAGGCACAAGTAGGTGAGTGAAAATGTGCAGCATGTGGCTGGATGTAGAAGCCCAGGAAACTCAGCTGAACTGAACAGTCTGAAAAGCTGTATAAAGGTGCAATAGAAGCAAGACACCAAATACATTTCAGTCAAACAGGTAACTTTATACCCTCAAAATGATATTCTAAAATTTTGGTTTTTAAACAACATAGGACTTCACCCATAGGAATGTCACATTAGCCTGGGAGTATCAGAATTTGAATATGGCTCATTTAATAGAATTTATGCCTTTGACAAGGTCTGTATGTGTCCAACATGCATTCAATTTTGTTTAGTCTGGGCTGTAGAACAGTCTGGGTGTAAGTCAAGAAGTGGTATCAGGAATTTCAAATACAATATGGAAAAAGTCTGCAAAGATAGAATGGAACAGCTTTCTGTTTTATTCCAAAAATGGAGAAAACATCCTCATGACCCAGTTGTGCTGAGATGTTCTTTACTTAGGGTAGTTATGTATTTTTTACATAGCAGGTTACAATTTAATGACACATCAAAATACAAATGGCATTGCTCTTTGCTTCTAATAAGGGAAGATCATGCATATATTAGAAAATGCACATTTCATGAAAGAAATGTTAGTTCTGCTATTCTGTTACTCTGATAAAGACATTGATCTGTTTAGGAGAACATTCTTTAACTTTGTGCTCCTTATTTGCATGGTGCAAAATGTCTCTGGTTCCTACTGTCCCTAAAAATGAACGAGATATGAAAACCCAGCTGCTGGACACAAGTTGCACCGAATTTATTTCCTATATATGATTAATAATGAGCATTTAGGTAACCTCCAGGTTTCAGCAGCAGCAGACATCTTAAAACTTTGCCTTCCTCACTCTTCTGATTGTGCCTACAGCTAATGTGGATATGCAATAAAATACAAACTTTTATCTCAAAAGCCTTAGGCATAAGGTCTAAATTGCTTATCATTTTACAGGTTTAATTTTGGCACAACCAAACCAGGCCATGTTCAATCATAACCCAACACTTAAACATCTGCCTGAGCTGACATGATGCTCTCATGTTTGAATGTGGAAGGTGAAATCCTTGGAA